GAAAAGGAGCATTTTCCAAGGGAGAGAAGGAGCTATTAGTAGAAAGGAATGATCCCAAATTCTCCATTAAATTACTATTATTTGAGCTCTACTTTTAAGTTAGTGCTTTAGTGACTACTGGATTTTAAATCATTCTATCATTTTACTCATAAACACACAAAATGTTTGCTTAAGCATATCATGGGGACAAGCATCCTGGTTTTCACAGAAAAGCATCACTACGTGGTTAGTATACACTTATTAATAGAATCTTTCTCAAAATTTGAATACAAAGCAAAGACACTGACATAGCTGATGATACAGATGCAGAGGCTAGAACGGAAATTCACTGGTGGGAAAATGTCCTTCATGAACACTCACCATACTAATTTACTAATATCCATGGTAAAGAGTAGCTAAACACATCTCTTGATAAAGATTTCTGTGAAGACATTTTGACACTATTTTTTAAATTTGTTTTTAGTTTTTGATAGACATTTATTCTATTGATTTATTTTTATGTGGTGCTGAGGATCAAACTCTGAGCCTCATACATGCTAGGCAAGCGCTCTACCTCTGAGCCACAGCCACAGCCCTTGACACTATTTTAATCATGACAACTAGTACTTTGTTGTCTAAAAATGCTTGCCTTATTATAAAAAATGCTTCTCCTTATTTTGGTGAATGAGCTCCTGAAGAATGAGTAAGTTTGTGGAGTTCTGCGAAGCTGAGCTTCCAAAAGGTATCTTGAATCATAACCTCTGAAACCCTAGAGAGTCAGTGGACAGACCACCATGCACCAAGACCATGAAGGGTCAGGGCTACTACTGGTTTCACCATCAATAAATCCCCAATGTATGGCTATGCCTGCTATGGATTAGGTACTCAATTAATAATCATTAAATATAGGAAAGACCTGAGGTTATTTGAAGATAATATGTCATAATGTTCTAAATAATGTAGAATATAATGGTGAAGAGCTAAGTAAGTCTTTTTGACCCCAACTACCCCCAGATTCCCAGCTCTTCATTCTACCATCTGCTATATAATGTGAACTTGGATGAGTTACTTAAGTATTTAACCTAGAAGGTCAGGGAATAATGACTATACACACTTCCTATTGTACTTTTGTTCATAGTTTTCAATTCGAGGGAATAAGAACAGTACCTAGTTTCTATTGCTGCTGATATGTGCATCACTGCAAATAGTATTTGGCCCATAGTAAACAACCAGTCAGTGTTGGTTATTATTATTTTAACTATTGTCCAAGCCCTCAACAAATAGCAGTGTTTCCCAGCCTTTAATTGAAATCTTGTCACTCCCAAACTCAGTTGAAAAACCCAATGATTCTCAATTCGCCCCTTCAGAGACATGTGCCTGAAAGAAAATAGAGATTTCACCCCAAATCCTTTTCTCATTGTCATCCTGCCCTCAGTTCAGTCTATCATCACATATGTAATTTTCTCTCTCACATTATGTAATATGTCCTCATCGTTTCTCAAATATTCTGGTCCTGCCTGACTCTGTTTCATGGGGGCTGGTTCTCAATTTAGCTCCTTAAGTTAGGAACATGTAGTTATTTTCTCCCTCAGGCCTGAGGCAACGCTGGCCCCTACCAGCCAGCTGGAGCATCAGGCTTCATCAAATCATATCCTGACCCCTCTGCTACACGAAAGCTGTGCCCTCCAATGCAATTTGAATTATTTGGTCTGAATCTAGGCTTCTCACTCTCGCCCTCCCTCCTCCTGTCTGTCTAATTTTGGGCCACTTTTCCAGAACAATTTGGATGAGGCAACCCAGATAGTTTATACTTTATGAATCGGGACAGTGAAACATATCCAGGCA